GGGGGGGGGGGGGGGAGAGCTTCTGAAGCTCAATAATGCACTAACTAATCTCATCGATCGAGCGGAACGTCCTCTAAGTTTGGTACGTTACCGAAGTGCTGGAAGCCGTTCTTGAAGATCCGCCCGCGACTGGTGCCGGCCTTCATCTGGTCGAGCAGCGTGACGTTGTCCTCAAAGTCCTTGACCCAGCGGGCGGTCTCGTTGCCCCAGTGAAAGCGTATCGGCGCGGCGTGGTGGTAGACCTTCTTGATGCCGAGGCTGCGTATCTCGATCCCATCGTCCGAGTGGTAGAAGGACTTCTCGCAGAAGTCCTGGCCGAGGAACGGCTCCAGCTCGGAGACGATCTCCATGAAGGTGGGCCTGTCGCTGGGCCGCCACTTGAAGCACTTCTCCATGATCTTCTGGATGTTCTCGGGACAGTTACGCGGCACGTTCAGCATGCCCTTGTGCAGGACGTAGTTGAGCACTTCCTCGTTCGAGAAGCCCTGGTACGGGATCTCGGCGAGGGTGAGTATCTCGTAGAGCACCACGCCGAACGACCAGACGTCCGAGTCGGACGTGAACACGCCGTCGGAGAGGTTCTCCGGCGCCATCCAGCGGATGGGCAGCAGGCCCTTCTTGCCGATCTTGTAGTAGTCGGTCTCGTAGATGTCCCTCGCCATGCCGAAGTCGCCGATCTTGCACACGAGGTCCTTGGAGACCATGCAGTTGCGCGCCGCGAGGTCACGGTGCACGAACTTCTTCGACTCCAGATAGGCCATGCCGTCGGCGATCTCCGCGGCCATGCGCATTATCCGGGAGGCGTTCGGCACCATCTCCGAGTCGCGAATGCTCCGCAGATACGTCTTCAGGTCGCCTTTCTCCATCAGCTCCATGATGACGAACGGCGGATTGCCGATCGAGACCACGCCCAACAGCTTGATTATGTGAAAGGTCGAGAAGTTCTTCATCACCGAGGCCTCGTTCAAGAACTCGTTCTTCTCCCGTTGGCTGGCGATCTCGGAGATCGTCTTGATCGCCACCTGCGTGCCGTTCAGGCAGCCACGGTACACCATGCCGAAGTTTCCGAGGCCGAGCTCCTCCAGGATCTCCACGTTCTCCCGCGGCACCTCCCAGTTGTCGACGATGTACTTGGTCTCGATGTAATCCGGGTTCACGCTCGCGATCAGCCGCTCCTGCTTCCGCCGCCTCTGGTGGTTCCTGAAGATGAGGAAGACCACGAGCAGGCCGACGATCAGTATACCGAGGATCAGCAGCGTCGTTAGCAGCACCTGGTTTTTGTCCGACAGGCCGACGGAGAAGAAAACGACGGCGGTGAAGGCGCCGTCACCCGCCAACGAGGTCGAGCGCATTCTCAGGCTGTATTTGCCCGGGCTGAGGTTCCTGATGTAGTGACTGTTGTATCTGCCCTCCGGTCGCCGGCCTATCGCGTACGGTATGCACTCGGTGCTCTTCTTCGCGTCCTTCACGTCCAGATTCGTGTATTCGATGGTGTACGAGACGGTGAAAGCATTCGGGTCTTTCACCAACTCCCAGATCACTTCGACGATCGTATCGTTGCTCACGTGAACTTTCACGTCCTCGATGTCGTCCGCGTCCGGCCGCCGCTTCGTCCTGGTGTTCGTGTACCGTATGGACGAGCACATCGGGACGTTCTCCACCTTGACGCCGCACGCGGCGATCGTGACGGTGTACAGGGAGTAGTGGCGCAGCTTGCTCAGAAGGTACGAGTTGTTCTGCGCGCTGACGTTGTACAGGAACATCTGACTGTTCCGGTGATTAATCGCGATACCGTTACCGACGGGCTCTTGCGACGAAGCCAAGGAGAGATTGTTCGCAAGGTCGTAGAAGCGGTTCTCCGCGGAATTGTAGTTGTTAAACACGCAGTAGTCCTTCCAGCCCGGTGACAAGTTGCTGATGCTCGTGTTCTCGTGGCAGAATATCTCGAAGTGCTTGGAGGAGGCCGTGCTCTTCGTGTTCACGTCCTTGGAACAGCAGGAGGCAGGATTCGGAGCCGGCGTCTTGACCGTCACCTCTTCCTGCACCTCCACCTCGTCGACCTCGTTCACCAAGGTGTCGTTGCAATAGTCGCGCGACGCGATCAGCTCCTTGTCGTCCAGCTGAATCTCACCGGAGATCATGTAGTAACCGATCGGGCCGTTCGGGTAGATCGGCGAGTCCCACTTGAGGAGGATCTCGCTGTCGCTGATCGCGCTGGAGATCACGTTCGTCGGCACCGACGGTATCGTGCTCTTCGTGCGGAAGAAGATGATCTCCGACTGACCCACCGGACTGACCAACTTGTCGTTCCTCGCGATGAACGTCTTCACGTAAGCAGCGTACTTGGTGTACGGCTTCAGATTCGCGATGTGCTTCGAGACGGTCGAGCTCCAGCTCGGTATGTCGACATCGACCATCTGCCACGTGTTGTTCCCGCAGGAGTTCCCCTCGTACGTGATGTTCGTGTTGTCGGTCTCGATGTAGCTCAGCAAGTAGCTGAGCAGCTGTTGTCCCTCCTGCGCCTTGTAGCTGTCCCAAGTGAGGACGACGTGATCGGCCGCCTCGTTCCTCACCGTGATGTTGATGTTGACGATGTTGCAGGAGACCTTGTAGCCGTTCGACTCCGGCTGCACCTCGAGATTCGTGAAGTTGGTGATGTTCACCGTTTTGCCAAGCTGCTCGATCTTCGAGAGACAGAGCTTCGGGTTGTAATGAAAGAACAGCCTGCCGTTCTCGATCTTGATCCTCTGCGTCAGCGGGAAGAGCGACGAGAGATTCGGGTTGTCCAGGATCACCAGGCTGCCGTTGTTGATGTCCAGGTTCTCGCCCTTGATTACCTTGAGCTTCTTAAAGAAGCTCAACGACGTGATTGGGAAGGAGTGCGTGACCTTCAGGTACGCGGTGATCTCCTCGATCTGACCGAACGCGTCCTCCAGCTCGTTCATTATGTTCGGATTGCCGTTCCTGATCTGGAACTCCAGAGGTCCCCTCACCACCGTTATACCGCGAAAGGTCTGCGCGTCCGAGATGTGGCGTATGATGGCGCCGTTGCTGATTTTACGGCACCGACCTTTGCACATCCGGCAGATTGTCGCCTGCAACGCGAAACGAGTCACAAGCGTGGTGGGAATGAATCCCGCGATTATGAAATAATACGTAAGAACGTACGAAGGAAGGTTACCGTACATTTTTCTCGTCGACGTCATCCTCGAACCCGTCAGGACACTGGGTGACGCAGGAACCGTTGAAGGGTCGCCACGTGTGGCTGCTCTCCAGTTTGGGCAATCTTTTGATGCGATTCATCTTCTGGCACTCGTCCTGCGTGATGCATCGCCTCGAGAGATACGCGTACCTATCGGCAGAAAACGGTGGTAGCATTTACCGGAAGAGAAAAGCGCTTCTCAACCCGGGCCCGATTCTAGGTCTATCGCATTCATTTGATTCGGGCGTTCCGTTCGCGAGACGCAGAATACACCGAGATATTCGCTTTCGTTGGCGCATCGACTTTTGTCTCGTCTCGCTTCCGCTAATGCGGTGCGTTCTCGCGAAATCACTTACAGATTCGGCGGACAGCTCTCGACGCACTTCCCCTCGTGTCGGTAATGCTTGCACACGTAACAGTCGCTCTCGGTCGGCCCGTAGCACTCCCCGAGGCACTGCGGGTGACACTTCGGTCTCGCTATCTTCTGACAGTGTTGGGCAGTCCAGCAGTAACCGCCGGGACACTGAGAGCATCCTGTCGAGAGACACATTTCGAGGGTATTGTTACACTTCGCGACCGCCGCCTCTTCTCGGTTCTCCGAAATCGGGCTTCCCGCAGAAGTAAGAATCGTGTCGGCGGGAATAAAGGAGAAATTATCAAATGGCCAATAAAATCACACATCTTCAAGTAACATGCGTATATAACAGCACTGAAAATGGTCTAAACGGAGGCTGAAATGTGTGGAAATATATTTTTTTTTGTTTTTTAACGTAATAATTGTACCGAAGAGGATATTTCCCGTTAATAAATAACGGATAATAAGATAGATTTTTACTCAATTTTGTTTATAAAATGGATGCTACGACAATAATATATAAGTTACTCGAAGATACATGTGATTTTGTTGCATTAAGATAGCCATGCATTGGCTGTTATTGGCCCATTTAGTAGTTTCCTCCGATTGAATATACCCATCGAGCCTTTTCCTCGTCAAGATTTCCGAGATAAAGAAGGGAGAAAAGAGAAGAAAAGAGAACCGCCGTCTCCATAATGAGATAGTCTTGCGGGTGAATCCAATATTCAAGATCAGAAGCGCGCGATTACCTTTCGTGTGCGGGCAATTCTGCTCGTTTCTGTTGTCCTTGATAAAGTTCTCGCCGGCCGGCACAATCAGGCTCCAATTTAAGGTGTTCGTGAAACACAACGCGGGATTCTTCTCGATGCGCACGCCGCCCCGGGAGATCTTGGTCAGATTGATGAGGCCGATCTGGGGGGGGGAGAGAGAGAGAGAGGGGAGGGAAAAAGTTTCGCGCGCGGAGGATTAGCCGCGGAATCGCGCGAGTCAGAGGTCGAACGGCCGCTTAATTTGATTGACTGATTAACGTCACTTGACCTCGGCATTTAACCGGGTCCTACGTGCAGATTGGGCCATACCTTCGGACCGAATAGCCGCGGGCGGGGCTTCGCTCGCCGTGGGAATGAACGATCGCGATTACCGATCGTACGTGACGGCGGTCACGCACCGTGCGAATGAAAAAGAGCTTCTCTAGCGTGTTTTCGCTTCCTTTTTTCTCCTCCGTTAGATACCGTTATCTGTAGCGCGTCGATATGAAATTCAACAAACTCGCGTGAGATCGCGAACGGACGCGGCCCGTGACGCATTCCATCGCCGAGATCTTCTTACGACTTCCTCTTTTTTGTCTCTCTTTTTGTTACTTAGGATGATTCGATAAGCATAAACTCCGTTGCAGGCTTATCTCAGTCACGTAGATTGGAATTAGCGTCGCTCGAGATCTCGTTATTTCCGTCTCGGTGGCGAAGGGGCAGAAGCGAAAAAACGGAGGGAGGGAAACGTGTCGAGCGGAGATGCTTACCTCCTGCAAGCTCGTCATCTCGTAGATCATGAAGGCGTAGTCCGTGAGGAGTATGTTGCCTCTGATAACTTCCAGATTCGGGAAGAGCTTGCTGAGACTCTTGAGACCGTCCACGCGGTACAGGAGGAGGTAGCCGGTGATCTCGCGCAACTTCGGGAAGCTGATGTTCTCGAAGTCCGCCTCGGTATTGTTCTCGATCAGCACGATCTGCAGGAAACCCTCGATCACGCGGCAATCGTTCAGTATCGAGAAGAGAACCACGCTGTTCCTGACGTCTATGCTCTGGCAAATTCCGTCCCCGATAGTCACGTTCTTGAGTGTGTGCCCCTTCTCCCGCGACTCCTCGCTGGACTTGGCGTGCGATTTGGGCAGATTCGACGACTGACTAGACTGCTGATTGTTCTTGGACCCGACCTCCGTGGATCTGACACAGTCGGAGCGGAATTTCATTCATTTCGGCCGCGCTGGAGCGTATTCGTGAATTCTCTCGTTCTCTCGAAACGGCTCTCGAGTACATATTTCGTAGAAATTTCCAAACTAGTCTCTCTCTCTCTCTCTCTCTCTCTCTCTCTCTCTCTCTCTCTCTCTCCTCGAATCGTTCTCTCGACGTAACTTTAATTTAATTTTTTGATTAATTAAAAACGATATTATAAAATAATATCGTATACGTATATATAATATGTAATATGTGTAATGTACATCCGCTAACGTTCCGCTAAATTTGTAACGCTCAAAGAGAATTCATTCGGGACGGAGACAGGCGCGTTTAGCCGCACGAAAAGGATTAATTTCATTTAAACAAAATGCTCTTTGTGTGCAATACCACGAATTCGCTCAACGGAGTTAAATTAGCGATAACGTTAGAGATCTGAAGCCGCTAACAACCCCAATTAAGATCAAAGGGAATTCCATCTGTAGGGATGCGCGCGCACGCGCGGGGGAAGTAGCAGTTCCGCTCGATGACACTTGTAATACAATTCGAGGGGACTAATTGGCGAAAATAAAATCACTTAATGTTTATCGTATTTAAATAAAGGCCGTCGAGTCGGCGCTCGTTTGGAATCTATCGGGCCCCGAGTCTCTCGAGAAAACGGTCTTCCTCTTGGCGAGTTTGCACGCGTGCTGCGCATCATCCTACGCGTCTCGTAGAAGAAAAGGTTTTCCTTTCATCAATTACCGGGGATTCCTCTCCAATTACGGAAGAATTCGCCAATATACAATGAATAGAAAGAGGGAGAAAAAGAAAGAAGAAAAACATTGATCAGCCCTGGAACATTCTCTAAGGGCGTAGAAAAAAGAATGCAATAAAGTGAATGTCTCAATTTATCTTAAAAAATGTGTCCTTTCTCAAAATTTTATATATTAAATAAAATATTATTAAGTAAGTAATAGGGACATTCATGATTCTGTATCAATTTGTGATATTCGAATAATGATCTTTGCCTGTCCGCACGTTCGGCATTTGTCAATAACATAGGCATATTATGTATCACAACGATTGGGACAAAATCAAAGATATATATCACTAAATGACACTTCGTTATTTTGAGGAGATATTAATTAAAATCTTATCATACACTTAAGAAATATAATATAATAATAAGAAATATAATTTACAATTAAATATTAATAATATACAATCAAACTTACGAGTAAAGTAAATTTTATATATTTAGCTTAACATATATATTACTAATTTATTAATTTACTATCAGGTCATTTTGTCACTAATTGAGACATTCACCAGCAAAGTAAACTTTATATACTTATCTTAACATACATATTACTAATTTCTTATCACGATGAGATTACTTTGTCACTAATTGGGACATTATGTGAACGTATCGGTATAAAAAGGCCGATACATAGAATGAAACAAACGTGAGTATTGACAACGAGAAAAATAGAAAAAAAATAGAGCGAGAGAAAGAGAGACAGAGAATGAGGGAGAACATACCTGGAGTTATCGATCGCCCTGTTGTTTCTATAAGCCAGCTTGTCCGGGAGATCCAAGTAGAAGTCGTTGGCGGCCGGCGAACCCCGATCATAGTATAACTCCTCGGAGTCCTCCGCCTCCCTTATCCTGTCCGCGTAATCGGGCTCGTACTTGCCCTTGGCGCTTTTATCCCGGTGCTTCGTGGTCGCTTTCGGCCACCTTCTCTCTTGGCAGAGCGCCAGGCTCGCCACCGAGACGCACAGCAGAACGATCAGCAGTGACTTTCTGGTCCTCATCTCCTTGTCTCATTGAACACCGCGCGCTGCTGGATCCTCCCGATTCTTATCCCCCACGTGCCTATCCCCGACCACTACCACCACCACTTTCGCCGCTTCGATTGATCGACGATTGAATCCGATCGACCCCTGAACTCTCTCTGTCTCTTCTCCCGCCCACGCGTCCAGTCGATCGCTCGGCCGATTATTTCAAACGCCTCTTAAGGACGAGACTGCGATCAGAAGAGGACGAGCCGCCCCGCGATCCGCGAAGAAAGCGCGAACCGCGAGTAGCGTGTGTCCGCGGACGGGACGCGCAAGATCCTCCGCTCTGTGGCAGTCGCGAAATGTCTTCAAAGCAGCTCTTCGTCGGGGACCAAGTGTTTCCAGTCCTTCATAATTTCGACGCCGCGCCGTAATCACCTGTAATCAGGAGAAAAGTCGCGCACACTGCTGTGAATAGAAGTGTACGTAACGCGGCTCGCGCTTTCTCGATTCGGCGATGAACGCGTCACGCTACTCTCGAATATCTCTTCTCGTTCACGCACCTTTACCTTCCTCCGCTCGAGGAAGCAGAAACGCATCTAGGACAAGACAAATGCGCGCGCCGCGCTGCTTAATTTAATTAAGCAAATTTGCATAGCTCACGAGAAGGGAGGAGACGCTCAAGTGGGTCCGCTAATGAAGACGCGCATGAAAACGCACCGACATCTACGACGACGGTTCAAAACTAGTTTGCAAATTAATATCGCAACGTCAGGCGTGACCAGGACCCCGATAATAATCCCCTGTAATCCTTCCTCGCAGTGACGACGACATTAAGAAGGGGAGGAAAGAGGGCAGGGAGCAGAGTGGTTATTTATTCTATCCTGAGGAATATTTCCTTTAGAACTTGTAGCAAAAATACCAAACATTTTTTTTAGACGGAAGCTTGTCCAAGCATTATGCCAAACCCACAACAGAGAGAGAAAATTACGCTACTATGTGAGTATTTTTCGCGCAATCGCAATAATCTCATTCCCTAAGATGTCCTTCGAGCCACATATAAAGAACGCGGAAATAATTCCGATACCGCAAAGATCTTTATAATAATAATAATTATAAATAGACTTTCCATTAGCTGCGAGTTAATCTTAAAGAAGTAATAGAGGAAATTAAGAAGTCATAATTAAACGAACAAGATTGTTATATATAGCTAGATTTCGTCAACGCAAAGATCTTTATAATTATATAGACATACAGAGATATATTATCAGAGAGAGAGAGAGAGAGAGAGAGAGAGAGAGAGAGATGCAGAAGGAACGAGGGTATTCGCGCCAACGTACGCGACTGTTCGTCCGTTCGTCGCGCAGCTCGATAAAAAGCAGCTTCGTAAAAGGTGTCGTAAAATCCGCTATCACAGGCCACGCCATGGCGTATCACATAAACGTAGAGAAATCGCGGGCCGCCCCGCTGACGAATCTCCGGGGCGACATGGGAATCACCGGCAGCAACACGCAACGCGACACACCACTCTCTCTTCTCGTGCTCGTTCGTGGGCCAGCGCGCGAACGGATTTCCTCGAGAAAAAGCCATTCGTCGCGTGGGCGTAGTAAGCCCATGGGGAGAATTGCGGCCGCGTTTCTTCTCATTTCCGTCGTCGTAACTCGAGACACGTTTTGATGTATACCGACGTCTCCCAAGAATCGGCGGTACCCTATATCTACTTCTATCGCCCAGCCAGCCAGCTACTCGATACACGCCATCTCTCGGCGCGTGACGTCACATAGAAATCGCAATCTAGCTTATCCCGCCCGTCAGTTTTGACAGCTGCCGTTCATTATTCATGGTTCGACGTTTTTACGCGACGATGATACGTACGTGCAGCAGCACGCCGGCCGAAGGTTCGCGTTTCGAACACGGCAGAGAGGTGATTTACGCGCGCATGTGTAATAAAATAAAAAGAGAGAGAAGATAAAAATTGAAACGCCGCGAGCGGCGTAAATTGTGCCTCCCGCTTCCCGGACATCGTAATCCCGGTGTGGTTTCGACACGCGGATAGGAAGATATCGGCGACCCTCGGCGCGAATTCTCTCCTTTAATTCCCGCGCGCGAGCTTCCTCGCCACCGCCGAAGATAACGCGCGCGTCCACCGCGTCTCTCTCTCTTTCGCTCGTTCTCGATCGCTTAGTCGGCCGTGCGCGGTGCAAATATCTTAATTCGTCGTATAAATATCGCGATAACGATCGAGGGGGAAGAAGAGTGGGACGGGCGAGGAGACTCCGCGCGCCGGCATCTCGTCGTTGTGGTTCGCCGATTAAAGGCCGGATACGCGCACGATACAACACGAGAACTTCGTAATGTCCCGCGATAAGCCCGCGCGTCCGGAAGAATGTTGAAGCCTCTAAGCTCATTTTTTTTTCTGCCAGTAGTCCTCCCGAGAGCCCGGAATTAAAGGGCTTATTTCCCGAGTTGATACTCGCCGCGGGTTCATCTTCTTAAAATATGTAGATTGCGCGTCGCAAAAGTTACGCGAGAAGAGGGCGAGCTCGTTAATGAGCTTACGACGAATAAAAGCTCGTAGCGAGTAATCGTTTGCACAGCGTTTTCACCATTGTCCTCTCTCCGCAGAGCGAATTTTAATTAACGCGTATACGTTGACGCGCGTCGTCTATCGATCGTGGGCATCTTCTTCTCGCTTTCCGATCTTCCGACAATTAGAGGTCATTTTATTCTCGTTACATAAATCAATATCGACACGGTTCGACTTTTCATGGCTTCCTCGCTCTCGAAAGGTGCAGCTACGCAGTGCCCAAACATCGTAGCGCGTAGTTCTTTTTTTCGGTCATCTTCACTCGGGCCCACGAGCGAGCGGATGAAGTTAGATGTTGTTTTTGCCAGACGATGGAATTCCACACCGCGTAGCAAAATAGACAATTTGCCGTTGTCGTCGTCGGCCCGGCCGGCGGTCCCACAGATGCGACAGGTATCGGGACGGAAGATGAATGGACGTGCCGAACTTCGCCACAATGTGTCGTGCCGCGCGATAGATCGGATGTTTCGGTGTAGTCGGCTCCGGTGGCGAAGTCGAAAGAAGTCGACTTTTTAGGCGCCGGAGGGAGTGACTGATGCGACCGGATTCGCCGGGAGTGTGACAAGCGAATACCCCCGAAGTGGTTTAAGACGTCGGAAGAATGTTTTCGGACCGGCGCGCGCGTCTCCGTGCGAAGATCCGAATACGTGCGTGCATCCCGTTTCAAAATAGATTCCGTCGACAACAGTATCGATATCGAATTAGCGAAGGTATCGCTGATACTTTGTTTGTTTTTTTCATAGCCTACCGTAGCCGGTGCGCGATTTTTTTCGCCGACTCTCCCTCACCATCGGACGCTCTACATTGTTGCGAGAACGTCGCGAGCGTTATTCTGCGGTGTATCCTGGACTATTTTGATATCGCAGCGCGCTTATAATAAGGCGCGCCAACGCGGTTGATGGACAAACGCGAGAAACCGCAGCGGGAGAATGACGGGCGAGAAAATACCAGAGACTGGAAGGAAACGGTGACTGACTTACGATGCTGGTATTGCCGATCGCGCGATAAGATCGACTTCAACGCTGTTCGCATTTTCGATGATAAATAACGGCAACTTTTTGCCGCCGATACTCTCTCGCGTTCAGTCCCATTATGCGGCGTCATCCTTTGTCGCTCCTTCTCTCTCTTCCTCCCTCTTCCCCCACATTTTTGCTCGCTCATTTCCCCTCCTCCCTTGGCCTCTTCAACTTTGTTTCTCTCCTTCTCCCTCCCTCTGTCCTCCCCTCCTTCGCCGCTCGCCTCGTCTGCCTTTAATCTCGATTTTTCGCTCGACAGCCGCCGACGCTCTCCTTTTCTTTATCCCACGGAGGACCTCCGGGCTATTCCCTCTATCCCACTTTTTCTGCACACTTAGATATGGCGCATCGATTAATAATGGGCCTGCTTACAATGTTGCAGCGGTCTCGACGCGGGTCGTTTTGTTCGTGCGATCGTTATTACTATGTTGCAGCAGCCACCACCAGCGTGCGCGCGCGCGCGAAACCAGTTTTGATCCCGGCTCTATGGTAAGTTATATCCGACGTCTACTCGCCCGTGAATATAACGCGCGAACATTTCCACGGGCGCGCGTTGCCCACCGACGATACACCTCTCCTCCTCCACCTTCGTGCATGTCGTCGAATTCGGTTGAATGCGTTTACTGCGTGCAGCACTGCCGCGGATTAGGGCCTGTTCTACACTAATTTACCTAAGTGCAGAAACGGCAGAGGAGCGGCGCCTTGATCGATGAAATCTTTCGGTTGTATATTCCGCCGAACCATGTGATAACTCTCGCACACCGAGCGCGTCTCACTGATCTGACCGCTTTACCATTGCGCGTATGTAAGTGAACGTGTGTGTGTGTGTGTGTGTGCTCATGAGCATAAGTCTTTCATGTCCGTCTGCATAGGCCAGCCTTTGGGGTGCATCAGTGCGCACTACTGCGTATTCCATCCAAATTCCGTGTCGGTATCTGTATGTATCCGCGATTTACAAGCAGCGATTGAAAAGCAATGTCAGGAGGAGGGTTGATGCGAAACAATCCCTCGGGGGTGAAACAATTTGCGAAAGAAAATTCCCATAGATTCCACCGGCGAGAGTTCCCGCGTTTCGCCGCGGCGGTTACAGACCAAGTAAGCAACACCGGATATACCGGTGTCGGATACATGCACGAAGTTCTTCAACATATACCTCTCCCGTGGAAGAAAAAGTCCGGGTGTCACGTTCGGGGACGTACGGGTGACCACGGACATGTCGAGAGGAACATGTGCGGGACTTGAATGGCGTCGTCTTGACGTTTTACGCGCGACTAAAGGCGCGCATTCGCTGACATTTATTGAACAGCCGCTAAAAGCATTTTGAGTTGCACCATCGAGCTGCGTAAGAAAGTGGCGTTTTCTCACGCCACTTTCACAAGACTCGTTAGATAAATTGGCGAAAATACCGGGCACCCTGTGCATCGAAGTATCCCCCAGTTTTTGCGTACCCCCGGATGCCTCGGGTTTTTTTTTCCAATTTTTCCAGGCGAGTTCACCCTTCATCGCTCCGCCGTTTTCACGCCCGTTATCTTTTATGACGAATCCGTTGTTTTTCGCCGCAGAGTATAGATTGAATTTTACGCCGCTAATAAATGCGATTCACCCGACTGCCTGGGAAGAAAGGACGTTCAGAGGCGTACGGAGAGTACGCGGCGCCCGGGGGCGACTCTGTGTATTTTGGAACCCCTGCTCTCTCCGAGCACATTGCAGAGAATGGAGATGCTTCTCCGGAGATCAATTAGCTGCAAACACGTTCGTCCCCGGAATTCTGGTCTTAAAATAAGAGGAGGAGGTAATAACGCTATCTGAAAGGCCGCGTGAGTTCATTAAACTAA